CTTTAGTTCCAGCTCCTGACAACCTAGCAGTTCGAAAGCAAGAAATTGCAAGTAGATAAATAGGTACCACTTCGTTGGGAAGGTAACAGCGTTCCGTGCGCCTTGATGTTTAGTCATGCCGGCCACATGAGCACCGCAACCCTAGAGTCGGGTTTGACTGGCTTTCGAGCAAGGGAACCTTTACCTTTACTTTACCTTACTCATTACTCAGTCTCAGCTATGTGATCTGAAACTGTCCTTTCCGTCAACTTATTGGCATAATTTGTTAGCTCCTTTTTTGTTTTATTGAGACAGAAATCAGTGAACTGAAACCTTTCACTCTGGAGGCTTAGTATTCTAATAAAGGGTTACCATTTGTTTGTAGCACTTGAATCATTATTCATGGAAAAATTATGCAAAGGAAAAAACAGTGCGATCCTTTGGGATATTAAATCTATGTGGTCAACTTTTCCAAATGTTCCTGCCACAGATTTCTAAACAGCACGTGTCAGCTTCTGCTGAGCTCCTCTCAGGTTCCCCAAAATAAACAGCTTGTAATAGTGTTTTGATATGTTTTATATGTTATTTTTATATGTGTGTGAGCATCCTCTTGAAAAAGCTGAGGAATAATGAAAGCTGAGCTTGCCTCTCCTCGTGGCACAGGACAGGAAAATTTTGTTTGATACCATTTCTTTCTATGGGAGGTGTAAGAACATTAGTAGAGGTTCATAGCAATTGCATGCAGTCAGACTTGATGGGGTGGGACTAGTAAACGAGGAAGTATTTGATAGCAGATGATGTCATTTTGTGGGAATTACCTGGTTTCAAATGCATTTAATTTCAAATGATTTCAAATGCATTTAAAGGCTGAAACTTTAGCAAAGAAGGCTAAGGATATTTTCCCTGCACCAAAGAGTAGCTGAAGTGATGAACATGAATACAGTGATTACACAATACATTAAATTCTGTTTCTCAACTGAAAGTCTCTAGCTGTGGTTGAGCAAAAGATTCTGTTCAGCCTCGAACAAGGTTCTCAGAGGGACCACAAAAATAATTTTGATTTGCAAGAAGATGATGAGTAAAACAATAAAGAAAGTCTATAAAACTCAGACTTTGGCTATGCTATTTGTGTTTACTGTCGGCCAGTGCAGAGTTTCTATTGATTTAGCCAGCAACTGATCTACATCAAAATACACAAGGAAGTTAATTCAGGTGTCACTGGAGTCTCTGTTTCTGTGGTTCAGATTGCATTTGCTTTGAAGAGGTGCTAACACAATAACAATGTGGAGGAGCAGAAATAGCTTACCTATTCTTGGCCATCCAAGGAGTCATTATGGGCTGAGTTTGTCTGTGATTATGCTTTCAGCTGTCTATTCCCCCTCCCTACTTCCATGAGATCAAGATTTAGTGTGCCGTGCCAAAAAGCATGATGCTATGCTAACTTTGCAGGCAGAGGTGCCTGCAGAAATGTTTTGTGTCAGGATGTTAGTTACCAAAATTCCAGGCCTCAAGACAGCTTAGTGGAATTGGTGTTGCTTTCAGCACTTTTGTCTTTTCATATTGGTGTCGGGATTAGCAGGGGCAACACCCGAGGCATTCCTCAGAGTCATTCTCACTTCTTCTGCAGCTGATAATGGTGTTTCATTTCTTTTCACTTTGCTGTTTTGGATTGCTTTCTCTTTTTTATGTTGTTGTAGGTTTGCACAGAATCTATTCTACGTGCTGTAGTTTTTAACATACTTTTTTGTTTTCCTTCGGTTATTTTTCAAGAGAACTAGCAACGTAACTGCTTGGGGATGGGCACTGTAGCAGGGTGGGTGACACTGATTTGGATCAGAGTAGTATCTGATGGTTTCTGTTATTCTTTTCCCACTCTTATTGATATTCCTGTTGGGCTTCCATCATGCGTAATCAAGCACAGGAGCTAGGCTCTTGAGCCATCTGGCATCAGTCTTATGTAACCAATAGGAATCAAGTTTGTGTTCTGTTACTATTCAGATTTGTGTGAATAGAATGCACCCCTTTGTTGAAGTATAAGTGGCATAATAGTATAATGGTGGTGAAATGTAGTCCTACAGACCTTGTGTTTATATGGTACATCCTTCACTTTGTCTCTCATCTCCTCTTTAGATAAAATCTCCTTTTTTTGACTCAGTGGCCCTACACATCCTAGCATGAACATAAGAGAAGCCAATGTTGGATCAGGCCAATGGCCCATCCAGTCCAACACTCTGTCACACAATGGCCAAAAATACCAGGTGCCATCAGGAGGTTCAGC